TTGCAGATCTACGGCCGTTAGCCAATCAAAATCGAGGATCATCCGCGCATTTTTTGTGCGGCAGCTAGGTTCAATGAAAATCAGCAACCATATCGATAACAATAATTAGAAAAAAAACCTGTATCCAACAAGAAACTCCCAACTACAAAAAAGGTAATGTGATTCTGCAAAGTCATCTGATTTCGCAATAATTTTAATAAACAGATAACGATAATCGATTACAAATTATCGATTATAAACAGATAATCGATTACAAATTATCGATTATAAACAGATAATCGATTATGTATTCAAGCGATTAGCATCGACAGGGTATAGTCTAATCGGATTAAAAAAGCATAATTGACTAAAAAAAAAAAACGATTATTATCGATTAAAATCGATTAAAAGAAATAAATCTGATAAAAACCTATAAAGGATTTTCTAAATATCGATCAAAATTGATTAAAAGTAATAAGTCGAATAAAAACCTATTTTTTTTTTTTCTACTCGATCATATTCGGTGAAAGAGCTTATTTTAGCTATAAATTTATTAAATTATAATCGTTTCTATTCTTAGTTTGAAATTATTCGATTTATTTTCTTAAACAATCAAAGTAGGCAGGGGTGATAGTATTCACTTGAAATCTTTATGATTATAATCGTTACTAATCGGTCTGAAAATTTTCCAGATGAAAATTATATAGATTTATTTATTATTATTACACACAGAAATTCGAATTTTATTTAAATTAAGTTAATCAAGCTAATAATATATATTAAGTGACTGGTATTGATCAGTTTTTATTATAATTAATAAACAAGACAAGTTATCCGATTATTATCCCTTGCATACTAATAATTTTTTTTTTAAAAAAAAAGGTTTATTTATACAAAATAATTATTGATTTACTAAAATAAAAGCATATTTTTACTTTAAAAATTAATCTTCTTCAATTGTCCATTTTTTAGGCGAATTCACGTTACTATTGTAATTATTTTGTGTTTCTTGTGTTTCAGTTTCAATATTTATTTCTTCTTCACCGAAAAAAGATGTTTTAGCAACTATATATATAATGAAAATGTATACAGTCTAGATAAATCGTAATCAAACTTGAGATTATTATATAAGTTCTAAATAAAATAAAATAACTTACAAAATTTCTTCAATCCTTTTCCGAAACCTTTTATCATAAAAACACTATATACAATCGTCGCCTGATAGAAGGAGGAAAGATAGTAAGAAATGCTTCAAATAAAAAAATATGATAAATAATTATTTACTCACCACAGCTAATATGATAAATAAGAGAGCTGCAAAAAAAAACAAAAACAAAAAAATTATAATATTTATTTATATAAAGACAGTTAAAAGCATGAATTGAAAATAATGGAAATATACCCCAAAATGTTAAAAAATACCAATGAGCAAAAGCGCTCACAAAAGCAACCATTATGGTGTCAAGAATATAAGTAGCCCATAGAACAAAAAATATATACATTCCGATTTTCCATTCATATTTAACCTAAAAAAAAAAAAAAAAAATTCAAACTTTGGTTAACGCAACAAATTAATATAACAAAATAATATTGAAAAAGGTTTATATACTGAATAATAGGCTAAAAATGCTGCTAAAAAGCCCAAAAAACTTTCAACATGATGGAAAATCCATAAACTATTTTCACCAACAACTGTTACGAGAAAATTTAGCATTGCGAACAGAATAAAAAAATATAATTCATATTTCAGCAATGCTAGTAAGATAAGACGTCTCATATATAAAGCTTTAACAGTTAAGAAGAGAAGAATTTTATTTAGTAAAAGAAAAAACCAGATTAAAAAGAAAAATAAAAATTTAAAAAATATTGAATAATTACTTTTAATTTTAACGTCAGCACCAATCTTTTTATAAATATTCCAACCAAATTGTCGATACAATTGGAATGAAATGAAAGTAGACCATAAAGCAAGAACAAAATAAACTACTGTATATGGGATATCAAAATAACGAAACGTGAGATCATATTGGGGAATGTTTTGACACGAAGGAATTCCTTCAATTTTATCCCGAAAATATTTGATAGTCATAGCTTGACCCTAATTTTTACAGTTAAAGCATATTACAAATGAGAAACAAAAAGCTCAACAACAAATGCAATAATAAACTTA